GGTTTTCTATCCTAAACACACAGTAGAATGGATGTTTCTGGCTTATAAAAAATATATATACTGCTTAATCTGTTATAGTATCTTATGAAATCCATCTTTTATTTATAGCGGTTTTATTATGAATTTTATATTTGCTCTCATATTTAAGAATCAGGTTTCAGACCTGACTTTTACTCACATATAATGCTGGAAGTGATTTATGCCCATTACCAAACGCCAGGCGGAGTTTGAACAAGTAGGGGCTACCAGTACACTCAGAAGATTTCAGAATGTCTCCCTGGAGGATGCATAGTTCAGGCTAGCATGTTTATTCCACCACTACCCTAAATACTATATATATTTTTTTTTTCTTCTAATCCTCACCCGAGGACATTTTTCCATTTTTTGTTCAGATAGAGTGGTAGGGAGAGAGAGAGTGAGAAACATTGACGTGAAAGGGACACATCGAGTAGCTGCCTCCTGCATGACCCAACCAGGGCTGGGGACAAACTGCAACCAAGGTACGTGCCCTTAGCAGGAACCGAACCCAGGTCTCTTTGGACCACAGTCTGACACTCTAACTGCTGAGCCAAACCAGCCAGGGCCTATATTTTATTTTTTAAATTAAAACAAAAACTCAAAAGAATTTTCTACTTAATATAGTATATTATACATGAATCAGTAAAAAAAAAAAAAAAAAAAAGCAGAAAAAACTTCCTCAAAGCATGAATTCCTAATTGAATAAGCTAAATGTACAGATTTAAAATGAAAATTCAGAAGAAAACCTAGTTACCTGCAACTGATTAGAGCAGGTACATCACTGAGTATAGTCAATACTATGAAATGTCCAGGAAAATATTTCTAGGTAGTGAAAGAGTAAAATAAAATTATTATATTTATAATTCAATACTTATTTAAAAAACAATATATTGTTTCTCTGTATTTTCTCTGTGATTAAATTTGTAGAAAACATGCACTTAATTGATTAGTTTCATTACTTCTTGGAAAATTCTCAGACCTAAGTCATTTTATGTCTTTCTTACAAGCTTTCCAATGCCAACAAGATATAAAAAGTCAGCACAAATATTTCTAAAGTAGTTTTATATGCCTGTGCAACTAAATTGCTCAATGATAATAATAAAAATAGGACTCCACCATTTGCGGGCCCCCTGAAATGCGATCCTCTCAGGTGACTCCGAGACTGCGCACCCCTGTGACCTGCCACTGTCCTTTGGCCTTGGTTCCTCACAATCCCATTGTGTCCAGAGCTGTCCTGCGACTTCAACTGCCTTGGACAGGAAATGTCAGCTGTAGCATCCTTCAGAAATGGTTACAAAATCGGCCTATCCGTGTGGCCTAAGAACTGGTCATATTAATGACCAGATTTCATGGGCTTCTTCCTACCGTGGTTGTAAGACCTCAGCCAAATGCAATGTTATCTTTGAGTGCTTTCTGAAATCCTTAGTGGGTGACTTACCTGAGCTCACCTAGATGAGCTCACCTAGGGTGACTTACTCAGGCTGATGGCCCTGTTGTCTCAGGTATGACTGTGCCATCCCTGACACTGCTATCACTCCTGCTAGCTAAAGGTGGACTCTGAGTGATTTTCTCATCTGTTTTACATCAGGTCCACGGGAAATGAGTGGTACTGCTCCAGCTGTGGTCTGTAACAAGTCCGCCCATACACACACACATACACACACACAAGCACACACGATGCTTTTGCAAAGTGAGAAAGCAAGCTCTAATCCCTCTGTGTTCTATTCTAGAGAGAGAGAGTGAGAGAGAGAGAAAAGAATCCCACAGTAGGTGTTCTTGAGGCTGCAAAGTTTCACAAAGTTTACTAAGAGAGTTCTTTCACCTTGCACACGACTGATTCTTTTTGTTGTTTCTTTTTTCTTAATCCAAGATGCACATCAGCTGTCAGGATGACAGGTCTAATGAGTTTTCACGTAGTAATCTCTGTGCCAGGCAATTCCTGGCTCAGTCCCCATGGCAACTTCTTAGTAAGGGCCCTTTCATCTCTCTTTGTCATCTAGGTTCCTCTGTCCCCTCCACATTTACCACCACCACAGGCCCTATCATGTTGGAACATCACAAATTAACAGTTACAGATAAATCATGTACGGGAAAGGATTCACCCAACAACACTCACCCCAGCTGGGATCCCCACCATGTCCCTCTAAACACCTTGACTGTAATAAGTATGATAGCAATATTATAATAGCAGTAAAAATCAAGTAATAGTCTCAACAAATCTATAAAATGAGCTATAAGGAAAGGAAAACACATACTGCCAGGAACTCGGACATCTCGTTTTTAATCCTCACCACAATTGTAAGAGGTTAAAACCACTCAGCCCTATTTACACAGAGGTTCAAATGCATATAAATATACAAACCAGGATTGAAAGCTTCGAGCTCTAATACCAAATCTGAAGCTTTTCCTGCATATAATTCTGCCTTGTGTGTTCCGGAAACCTCCTGAAACAGTGAAGGCAAGAACATGATGTGTATCGACACCCCTACCTTGTGATGAGCACCTAGCTTGTGCTGGACTCTTCATAAATGGCTCCCTTCATCCTCCTAACAATGCACTGAAGTGGATATCACTCCCCCGATTCACAAATGTGGGAACTGAGGTCTGAGAAATCAAGGGATTTGCCTGTGATCCCACAGCTTACAAGTACCTCAGGCAGGGCTCGAACAGAGTTTTGACTCCACAGCTCGGTCCCCTCCCCCCATATCATTCTGTCCACACGTTCTTCCATCAGCACATGATTTCTCACACAGTTATTTATTCAGTCCGTTTAGGTCACATTTCACATCATTTAAGATTTGGATTAGGAGAGGAAACAGAGAAGATCATAAATTTTGTTGTTAGAAGGGAATAATGGTCACATTGGTGAAAAACTTAAATTCTCATGAATGCTTTTACCATCTGCTGATACCAACGTGTTGTAAAAATGTCACCTTGAGTTCTGCTCTTATTGGGCTCCTAGTCCCTGGCCGGCCAGTCTCACCACACACAGCAGGTGGGCATTCTGCTCCTCAGTTTATCTTTTACAGAATGAGGATATAAAAAGCATCAGCCTCATATCTTAAAAGAATCCATGTACCCATTCTTGAAATCCTGGGGTAAACTGAAATGCCTACAAAAGCACCACATGGCACCAAAAAATGGAAATGTTGGACTGTTAATGCATCAGAATACATCTGAAAATAACTGTTAAAAGGCAGAGTCAGCCCTGGCCGGTTTAGCACAGTTGTTACAGCATCGGCTCACGGACCAGAGAGTCCCAGGTTCAGATCCCACTAAGGGCATGTACTTCGGTTGCTGTTTATCCTTGGCCCCTGTTGGGGTTGTGTGGGTGGCAACCAGTCGATGTTTCTCTCCCTCTCTTCCTCCTTCTCTCCCTCCCACTCTATCTGAAGATAAATGCAAAAAGAAAAAGTCCTCAGGTGAGGATAAAAAAAAAAAGGCAGAGTCATACAGCCTTTCTCACCTCAGTGCCCTTTGAGGGCCCTGTCTTGATAAAAGGCAAACATCGATGAAGAGGTGTGACCTAGCCTATGGGATGCCCTGCCTTTGCGGCTGTATTAGGTGCCTACTGCTGCAGCAACCAACAAACTCGGAGGCCTAAAACAACAGAAATGCACTGTCTCACAGTTCTGGGGGCAGGAGGTCTGCTGAGGGTTGATTTCCTCATGAGGCTCCAGGGGAGAATCCACTCTGTCTCCTAGCTTCTGCTTCCTGTGGCGATTCTCAGCAATCCTTTGCTTGTGGCGGTATCGCTCCTGTCTTTGCCTGTCTCCACATGCCTTCCCCATTGTGTGTGTCTGTGCTTTAAATCTCTCTTTCTCCTTTCTCTTATGAGAACACTAGTCAATGGATTTGGGGTCCACCATATACTCAGAATGATTTCACCTGGAGATCCTTAGTTTAATTGTGTCTGCAAAGACCCTATTTCCAAATAAAGTCACAGTCACTGGTACCAGGGGTTAGACTTGGATGTATCCTTTCAGCAGACACTATTCAACCCACTCACTACAGGCGCCATCACGGCACTCGTTAGGGAAGTCATGCTCATTCGCCGGGATCATCTGCTTGAGAGAAAGCGCAAAGTAGTTGTAAGCTTAATGTGCTCAGGATATGCAGATCTAAGCAGCACAAATGAAGAAAATACACTCTGTTATAAAATTTCCACACTCCAAATTCGAGAATACCTCCCTAAACTAAGCTATTCCCCTCACTTCCAAAACAGAACATACTTCCACCTGTGGCCTGTTGCTGTAAAAGACATCACTGAGGACAGTCTCTTCACAAAGTGATATTTTTTTCCTCTTTGGCCTGAATCAGCTTACCTTTCACATAAACACACACACACCTGCAGCTCAACATGGGTTCCTTGTATTTTGACTTGAGGTAGATAAGGTGACTATACAGAACACCTTTCCTCTCTCTGGTGGATCTCGACACACTGGGTGACATTACGCATCGTTAGAACGACCGATGAAGAAACAGAAAAGGTGTCTCTGAAGCCAACACAATTCATGGACGAGTGACTCCCTTCTGTAAGTCACAACAGCACAAATGCACAAGTGCAGTTTCCTACATAACAACCTTACAAATACAGGAAGTTCACCTGTCACCACAGTGCTATGCAAACAGGTCCCAGCAGTTTCTGAGTGGTCTCTAAGTAAGTGTATGTTTGTTACAGGTTCCATTATGATTTCTTCATAATATGCTAAAAAAATAGTACTATACCACAAAATAAAATCACGTGAAGTGAAACTAAATTGCTCAAGGGCCAGGACTGATATTGATGAGTAGTGTAAGCTCTGCATAGCAGAACATGTATGAAAAATAAGAGCAAAGACTCAGGGAAGTCATGAATTATGTGTTCTAAGGAGGGGAGTATTCATAAGGAAAATCAGTAAACAACATATAGAACTGACATTTCAACTTGCTCTTTTAAAAAACATTATCTTACATTTCTTGATACATATATTAATGCTCACCTGTTTCAATGAAGAACTTCCAAGCCAAAGTGCATCTTTCTGAGCACATCTTCTAAACTCGCTGTAAGCCGAGGCGGCTTCACTGTCGTCTCTGTGGGGTTCAAGACTCTTACTGGAACTCGTCAGCTCTTCAGAACCCCAAGGCTCCTTCTTGATGCTTTCATCTATTTATCCCAAGAAGATGCCATGGCATTCCTCTTACTCTTTGACACATTAATGTTGGCTAAACACACAATAATCTAAGCACCTTTATTCTTACATTATCTATGACTGAACAAATTATTTTCTGTTTAATGTGCTGAGAAATCACTAAAGCCCAGAACAAGTTTTAAAATGAAAACAAACACAACCCCAAAACCTTTGTTCATCCTGTCATGTTCACAAAGTGAGCCAAGCAGCACGGTGCATGAAAGCCCTTTCCCCACTTATCAATATAACCTGAAGTAGAGAGACTGTGCTTTTCCATGCGTTGATATTACATGCTGTTTATTTCAACTTCTTACCACTTACTTGCTGTTTTGCTGAAACCAGCTTGGGAGATGAATAGGTGCAGGAGAAGCCAGAGCTCTTGGGTTCATTTTCCAAGTTAGAATCCCCAAGAACAGTTTCTGAGCTCTGCACACAGAGGCACTTTATTCAAACTGCCTTGTTTATTTGCATAGAAATACTAGCATTTATATAAGTGGTATGTGTACTTTACCTCTTTATCATCTGAAAACAGTATCATCTACAAAATGTAACTATTCATCTAGCTAGATGCATGCTATAAATATAAAATAATCCTCTCTCTCCAGTCTCTAAAAAAATACTGGAAGGTAAAATGTGGAATTTTCCATGCCTCCAATGTTAGAATTTTAACCAAAACCTTCACGTTTCTAACCAACGAGAGAGAGCTTCCTTTTCAGGGGGAAAGGGTGAGTCCTGGGGAGAGTTCGAGGCTGTGGCACCCACAGAACTGCCGGCTTTCCTCCTCTGCTCACTGGGATGCTGCTTACTCGCACAAGTCTTTAAACTCTCGTTCTCATGTCTATCTTCATGTATAATATAGTTGGTGAAGTGCTTGGCTGTCCTTTAAGGTCCATAAGATTTTTACAAATCTGTGCATGATTTCAGAAGACCTACTAGGTGCTACCTGTACATGTGCAATTGTTGGTTTCAAGGGATCTGAACTGCATAAGTTGTCAGAATGGAAGGGACATCATGGGTATGAAAGGGCATTATTCAATGTCTAGCACAACAAAGGATTTAAATGTACATTTGCCGATTCATAATTTAGACTAAATTTATACAGGCCTGATGGATTTAAACATAACCATTTGTGATATTTAATTTTTTTTTTTTTTAAGAGAGATAGAAACATCAATGTGAGAGAGAAACATTGATCAGCTGCCTCCTGCACTCCCCCTACTGGGGATCGGACCCGCAACCCGGGCATGTGCCTTGACGGGGAATCAAACCAGGGTCTCTCAATCCATTGACAACACTCAATCCACTGAGCCACACCTGAGCTGTGATATTTGATTTTATACGTCAGCTTGGTTAGGCTATGGTGCCCAGTTATTTGTTCAAACATCAATCAAGATGTTGCCATGAAGATAATTTTTAGAGGTGACTAACATTCAAATGAGTAGGCTTTGAGTAATGCAAAATACTCTTGATAATGTGTGTGGGGGGTGGGGGACTCATCCAATCAGTCTAAAGCCTTATGAGTAGAGACAGGGGTTTCCAGAAAAGAACATTCGGTCTCAAGAATATAAAACAGGAAATCTGGCCTGAGTTCTTGACCTGCTGACCTGCCCTGTGGATTCTGGATTCGAGAATGTAATATTGACTTCTACCTAAGTTTCCATCCGGCTGCCCTGCAGATTCAAGACTACGATTTCAGCTCCTGCCTGAATCTGCAGCCTGCCAGTTTTCCCTAAGCATTTCAGACTTGAGAGCACTCACGAACACATGAGCAATTTTTAAAAATACATCTCTCATTCTGTTGGTTCTGTTGGATTCTGCTTCTCTGAAGAGTCTTAACTAATACAATATTTGAATTGGAATCCCCCAAAATGAGAAATGAAGCTGGTTTGAAAATGAGTTCATGTGGTTTATAAATATAAAAATAAATGAAATGTTGGCTACACAAATTGATAGCAAAAAAGTAAAAGGGTGTTGGTAAGAAAGGCAGAAATAAAATGTTTAAGGGATGCTATTCTGTAAATGGGGATACAATTTTAACCTAAACTTTAGGGATGTTAAAAGTATTAAATAAGTTAATATTTACCTTACTTAGAGCAGTGATTACAACAGTGTCAGACACCTAGCAAGCATTTATTAAATGTTTAGGTAGTATTAACATTTTCATTACCATCATTAATTATCCTCATTATTCTATATGTGTGATTACTATATCTGCTTGTGTAATAATTAATAATTTATTCCCATAATTACTCCATTGTGGCAGGTATTATAGATTCCTTTGATATAAATGGCAAAGAACATTAAGAAATTAAAAGTTAAGACAAACTCTGCCCTCACCTGTTTGGCTCAGCGGTTAGAGTGTCAGCTTATGGACCAAAGGGTCACAGGTTTGATTCCCAAAGGCACATACCTGGGTTACAGGTTCGACCCCCAGCCCTGGTTGGGGTCATGCAGAAGGCAACCAATCAATGTGTCTCTCCCACATTGATGTTTCTCTCTCTCTCTCTCACTCTCGCTCTCATTATCTATCTATCTATTTCCCTTCCCCTCTATCTATAAAGCAATGGAAAAATATCCTTGAGTGAGGATTAACAGAAAATAAAAAAGTTGAGACAAACTCTTTATAAAAGAGTGGCATATAGCCTCATATTAGGTAATCCAAAAATGCCATACCATTGTAGGATCCTACAGTAAGAAATGTTTTAAATTATTGTCACTGCTTAGGGCTTTAAATTCTACGCAATTATAGAAAATTGGGTCATAATGACACTCCCCCCAAACTTAGCTATATTTAAATATTTGCAACCATCAAAAACACACAAAGATCATCAATGAATAGTTATATTTAGAAAAGACAGATTAGCATTTGCAAACACCATTTCAATGAATTTATAAAGCAATGTTAATATAAAAGATTGGAAATGACTGGTCTCTTACCTTGGGCTCCTGCTCGTCCATTCTTGCCAAACAGTCGCCTTAATCGACCATCATAGAGAATCCTATTATGAACTTCTAGGGGTGCTGAAAGAGCATATTTATGATAATTTTCTCAACTGTTAATTTATAGACATGCAAATTAATTACAAAATAATTATTAATCACCATGGTTATTTAGGTATATTATAGGTTACGGATACAAATATTATACAATATGCTACCTTGCTCTGGAAAAAAAAAAACTTTTGTAAATCAATGATAATTGGAACAATACCTTTTTATATGTTTATTGCAGGGTATTTATAATAGGATGCTTCTTCAATCAAAAGGATTGCATCTAATACCGAAGAATCATTTCAGAACAAACCATTATGATTTGTCAAATCATACAACAGCATATATAAGCATCTAATCAAAATGAATGAGTGTTTTCCATTAGCTACTCTCTATATATCATATTTTTGCTACATATATATAAGAAACAGTGAACTTTGGTGGTCTCAGATTCTTTTATATATGCCATTACAATATAATAGAAAATGCAAGGGCTACTTAGCTCTTTTATGAATTAGAAGCAACAAGGTTATATCATTATAAGAAAAGTAATAATATAATCATAAAAACGTGTTTCTGGAAAAGGGTTTAAAGGGTCATCTAGGTGAATCTCCTGTCACTAGAACCTCAAACATAAATGATGGCAAGTTGGATGACAACCCCAGTCTTAGAATTAGAATTCATATACATAAACCAAACATGTTCCGTTTCCCACAGGAAGCAAGTGAACTAACTGGACTGTGGTTACACTTTTACTGTGTGGTTTAATATGGCTCATGTATGCCTATTACATATCACTTTATATTCCATGGGTGAGCCAACTCTGAAGATGGTAGTTATTCTGCAGCTTCTCCAGCAAGTATTCTAGAAGAGCCTACCAGGGTCCTCATTGTCTAAGTTAAAAACTGAAAATACTAGGTCCCCTTTCTGAGATCTTTTGAACATCAGTGTTTGGAAAATCAAATGTGGCCTATATTCATGGACTCGGCATGACTAACTAGGAAAGAGTAGGCTCCTGGAGCCAGGTGGAACGCTTGGAAGTGTAACATAAAATGGTCTTTGAAGTTAGTAGCTTCTGCTCATTGAATCCTGCAGATGAATTTTTTAAGTATCATTTGATCTTCAAATGTTCTTTTCCTGCCAAGAGCCAACAAATACCTCCTACAACACCAACATTTGGGGGAAAGGAAGAGAGGCCATTCCTGCAGGACAACTTGCAGGCTGTGCGTTGGGGAAGCAAGAACTTTTATTCCAGCATTGCCTGGATCTTTATAACTGTCAGTGGGAACAGCCATAAAGCTTAAAAGCTAATATATGATTCATAAATACTCTTTTTTGGAAGTTAACATCAAGCGATAGCAGATGTATAGATAGAGAATTCTTGCAGATGTAATAAAAATTCCAAAACAAAGATTTGATAATCCTGATGGACCAATGAGGTTCACAGACCAGAAGAAATGACCATACATTTAGGCTGTCAAAGCAAACAGACAAAAGGTAAATGGGATTACTAGAGAGACACCATCTTTAGAAGAGAAGCAGCAGAGTCCAGGTTTGGTATCAGCAAAACCTGCGTCAAAATCCCAGACCCACCACTTACTAGCACTGTAATCTTGGGAGCAGCTTTTTAGAGCTCCTGAGCTTCAATCTCCTTGCCTCCAAAACAAGACGAGGGTGAGGGTTAACAAAATGACATGCATGGAGTACCTCTCTTCATGCCTGGCACACAGAAGGCACTCAGGAAAAGGTAGCCAACCCATTTGCTTGTTTTCTGTTAACTACTTGATAATTGTATAAAGTGCATAATTTTTCAATAGTTTGGGTTCTGTCACCCTCAACTAGTACTTTTGTTTTCATTATGAAACAATGAGTTATAGACAGCTTTTGGGGGGCTGTATGAGAGGAACCTGAATTAGAGACCTAACTGACAACTGCTATAGTAGTTTTGATTCTTTAGATATGCAGACCTGGTGAGCAGTCCCCCTCAGTGATGCCCTTTTAAGACTCTGGAGGGTCAAACAGGTTACACAGCACAGAAAATGAAGGCTAGAGAATATGCCCTTCAAACTCAAATTCAATAATATGAATTAACCTGCTTCCTTTCCCCTTCAGAAGAGTCCTCAAAGGGAAGAGTGAAAGCAGCCAATAGGGCAAATGTAACTCCCAAAGGGAAAGAGAACAGATAATACCAAAGACAGAGTCTAAATTCCACTCCATGCTTGTCAGGTCTCTGTGATCTCAGGAAAAATACTAAATCTTTCTAAGCTTGTTTCTTCATCTTCAAAATGAGACTAATAATAGCTAGTTTGGAGGGTTTTGTGTCAGTTGGTCAGAGTTACCATATCCTTGAACACACTCATTGAACACTCAGTAAATAATAATAAATAATGTTTACAGAAGGCTTGCCATGTGTGGGATACTATGCTTAGCACTTTAAACTCATTTACTCAATTATACATTAATTCAACAAATACTTCTCAAGTTGATGCCTGTTCTATGCCAACTGTTGTGCTAAGCTCTAAGAAGTCATAAGTGAAAGAAAACAAATCTCTGCCCTCTTTGTGTTCAGGAGATGGTCTAAGAGGGAATACCATTTCACAGACGTCCACACTCATAAATAGCCTGCTGATCATTGTGATGAGTTTATTAAAGTAAGTGTACAGGGCTACATCACCTAAGTCACTCAAGAGAGTTGTGAATTGTTATTTAAGCCAAACTTCAAGCAGAGAGGGCACTGGTCACATGAAGGAGAGAGAGGAGGCTGTCCCGGCACTTGTGAGGGTTCAGTGTTCAGAAGGAGCCCCATGCCCATGAGGAACAAGAAGAAGTGCAGTGTGGCCAGAGCCTGCTGAGCAAGTGGAGAGGACGTGAGATGAGGAAGGAGAGTGTACTGGTCTTTACACTGAAAGCTGTGCACAGCGATGGGAAGGCTTTAATATGGGAGGGGCAAGATCTGTGTGGAGAGCAGATTAATGGTGAGCAGAAGTAGATGTGGGCAAAAGCAGTGCATTCATTCTACATGGGATTGAGTATGGGCAACAGAGATGCTGAGAGGCAACAGGAAATGAGATTTCATAAAATTTGTGATTTTCTGGTCAGCAAATAAATATTAAGCATCATATATGAGCCAAGTACTATGCCAGATTCTAAAGACATTTAAGGTCTAGTGGAAAAGAAAGCTACTAAAGAAATAAGTTTAGCACTAAGTATGTAACTAATGGCTAAGATGCATACCAAAATAAAACACAGGATGATAAGACAAAGAGCAGCAGAGTTAAGATTTTGATCAGGAAGAACACATTTAGTATATCACATCAACAAGCCCTCACCACCCTATAAGAGGAATTAATTAGTTATTAAATGTAACATGATATGATTACTTAAATGTGTCTCTCTGGCTAGGCTGCTGTTTGGTCAAACATCAACCAAGATATTTCTGTGAAGGTAATTTTTAGATGTGATTCACATTTAAACATGTAGACTTTGAGTAAAGCAGATTACTCCCCATCATGTGGGTGGCCCTCATCCAATCAGTTAAAGGCTGAAGAGAAAAGACTGAGGTTACCCAAAGAAGTGATTCTTCTCAACACCAAAAACACACAAACTGTGCCTCCATTTCCAGTCTGCTGCCCTGCTGAATTCAGTCTCAAGACTGCAACATAATGGTCACCTGAATTTTACATCAACTCTTACCTGAATCTCCAGCCTACCAGACTGCAGTATAGATGGACTTGCCAATCCCCACAATCACAGGAGTCAATCCCTTAAAAGAACTCTATTTCCTTCTCTCTCTCTCTGTTCACTCACACACACACATTATATATCCTATTTGTTCTTTCTTTAGAGAACACTGACTAATCCACAAGCTAATATTGCCTGAATCCAATCACACATAAAATTATAAAATTAAAAAATGCCATGCATCTACTACATAGAAGCACTCCGATCCATATTTTCTATTTAGTAAAAGGTATTTACCAGGAACCAATGATAATGGGATTGTCCGTTATTTTTATAATCTCTGCTATATAAAAACTGACCTAATATCCTTCCAGGATTTAGTGTAAAAAACTGGCGGTGATGGTGGGTGATTTACACTGGAAAAGAGTCATAAATTCTATCAAATATTGAAAGCTCTCTAACCTATGTGACTTCCCTTTACACCTCGACTTCCAGGAATCTCAAAGTAAGCGTGAGTGTTTAATTACAGGAACACTGTTGTCCTCTTTCTTGTACGCTGACGTCTTCTCTCAAATCCCCTTCCATCTTTATTTGGACTTTCCTTTAACCATATGCACTTATATTTCTATCAAAAGCTGTCTCAAACTATTTTGGAAGCAAATACAGATCACAAACAAATAAACATAAGAACAAAGCTGATGCAAAGTAAAGACAGATGGGGCAAGCAGACCTTTGGGGTGTCCCTCAGGTTCTGCCACACGAAATGCTGGGCATTGCATCTGTGCTGAGGCTGGTCTTCTTCGGGGCCACCCCAACAGCCCCACTGTCACGTCTCTCACAGGCTGCACCCCTGAGCTGCAGGAGGCATGCAAGGCTATCTTGTGCTAATTAGTACTGTCTAGTCTCCCCAAATTGGGTAACTGCACAGACTTGAATACCCAGCAAAAAAGAAAATGAACACAACATGAAATGTAGACTTAAAACTGGATTATGGCCCTGGCTGATTTGGCTCAGCGGTTAGAGCGTCGGCCTGCGGTCTGGAGAGACCCAGGTTCGGTTCCCACTAAGAGCACGTACCTCGGTTGCAGTTTGTCCCCAGCCCTGGTTGGGTCGTGCGGGTGGCAACCACTCGATGTGTCCCTTTCACATTGATGTTTCTCTCTCTCTTTCTCTCCCTCCCACTCTATCTGAACAAAATATCGAAAAATGTTCTCAGGTGAGGATAAAAAAAAAAAAAAAAAACTGGATTATGGGCAGATTTAAAAAAAGAACTGCCTGCTCTAAAATGTGAGGCCCCAACTTAACCACAGGAGTTGGGCAGTAACTGCTGGAAGGGTGACCAACATTTCGCCTTATGAAACATACTGTTTATAGCTAGAACCATTCTTGATTTGATTAAGTCGATTTTAGTCCTTATATCACAAAAATTCCACCACATATAACTATATATTTTGATCTCCAAGAAATTGAGACACAGATTTCAACTGGTAATTCAGTTGATATTTCTCTCCAGAATTCATTGAGATTATCTCTCATTCCTAAAGTGTTTTGGGCAAATGAAAAGTTGAGATTTTTTCCAACTTCAAATTCACCCTGATTTGAGCTACTGATCAAACCTGGTCCTGAGAGCAAGTCCTTGCCTTATCTTTTGGTGATACCTGTGGATTCTGCATCATTTAAAAATAGGTTTAGTTTATTGAAAACTATCTTTTAAAATCATCTTTGCATTGTGCTTGAGCCCTTTTTATTTGTGAGGAGTTAACCCAGTTTTTATTAAAATGTGCAGATTCAGTGACTGGCACTCAGAGGTGGAATATGGTCTTCTGGATTGCAAATGACTCTAAGTAACATTTGTCACTATCTCACCAATAACCTTGGTAAGCTCTAGAGTGCTTGGCAAACTATCAAACATGCATAGTGGTGTTTACATAAGGAACAATGTTGAATTGTTTTACAACTGCAGCTAGACTCAAGATTATAGAAGAGGAAATCATTATATCACTGCACCTGTGTGGTTCAAAAATTAGGTGGGGTTCCATGCCTTCGACGAAAGAAATCCAGTAGCTATGTGTGGAAATCTCACGTGCTAGAGGAATTTTACTGAAGAGTGCTCATCTCAAACTCAAAAAGCAGAGATGATATTTGTACAGTGACAGTGCGCTTCACATGCATAACAGGGGCCTTCGAAAGACCCCAAATTGCTTACAGCATCCTCAAATGAAAGCAAACTCCTGCTTCTTCTATCTGACCAGCTCTCTGTCCTTGATCAAAAATTACCTCCGCTGTCCATCATGTTGTTAGTGGTTAAAACTTACCATTTAAATTGTAAGCTGCAAAATCTAAATGGAACTGCATGTGTGATCTTTGTCACCTCATTTTCATGAATGGAAAAGAATATTCTGACACAAAAATTACATACTTAATTCTAGCTCACCCTCTCTGCTGACCTCCATCCCACACTGCCTTGGGTTTATTTCCTCATCCATCAGTGGGTCAAAGTAATTTCTGCTGTATTCATTTCCTGTGGAAAGTACATGAAGTAAGGGTCAGTGATTATTAGAAGCACATGAACCAAAATGTTAATTTTGAAATCGACACCAGCACAGAAGGGCCATTTTAGCTACTTTATAAACTTAATTTTTCTACAAGACTTCCAGGCCTCCTTTTTCGTAATTATCATCTTGCAAAAGGTCATAAAAGGTAATTCAGGAAACAAGTTCATGATATCTTTCTATTGCTGAAAAATTAATGAGAAAACTATCAAATGTAAACTTTAGAATGATGAAAATTTCAAGCAAAATTATTTTTAGAATATACTCAAGAACTAGACATTCTGGATTACAATTAGAGTTCACTGATGATTCTACTTACTCACCTGTATATCATTCACTATGTATAGCATGTTTTAGTGCCCAGAACATTGTAGTCAACTTAATGGTGACTTAATTATGAGAAACTGTAGCAAAGTTTCCATGTTGATCATTGAATAAAAAGAAAGAAGAAGAAAGAGAGAGAGAGAAGAGAAGGATAAAGAGAGAAAAAGAGAGATGGGCAGTGTGGATGGAAGGAAGAGAGAAAGGTCAAAGAGGCCTGATCACAGGTCTTTTGTTATGCCAACTTAAGTAACAGGAAGGGAAGGTACAAATGGTTTAGTCTGCATTCTATTTAATATACATCAACAATCACAACACAAACCAAAAATTCTCACTTTATACTTCCCACTTACTTTTGCCCTTATCAAGATAACCAAATGCAGACTGAGATATATATGTCTGTTGCCAGTAATTTGCATTCAGTAAAATGTAACCTCCTCTGATGACAATCCAAGTAGCCTCAAACACTGTGAAAGTAATAAAGCAGTATAGACTGAAAACAATATTTTGAAAGTACTGCTCACAGGAAAGGGTTAGTGTATACCAGGTATGCTGTGATACGCCACAGTATATTTGTTTTAGGATCAAAAATCATCCAAATAGCAGCTCCTTCTTCAAGACTAAGTGGAATTTTGATATGAACCTAACTTTATATTTCTGGACTGGCCCATGTATAAAAAAACACACAAAAAGTAAAACTATAAATATACAGTATAATATAGAATTTGGGGATGTTTAGTCAGTCTCTGTTCTATCAATGTAGTAAGTACAAAAACTGAAAGTCTGCTTTTCCGTGAGGTCTCAATAAAGAAAAAATGAATGAGTTTCAATTTTGTTACTTTATCTGTCAACAACTACTAGGCTGGTATGCATCTTGGCAGTATGTAATCAAAGTCTTACGTACTACAATAACACAGCCATTCTACCTCAGTCACTGTAATTGATTTCCCCCCACCACAAAGCACTGTGATACTCTAAGTACACCTGTCCATATGCTGGAAAAATAATTCACTTAGATTAAAACAAAAATGTTAGTGTATTCCTTATTATATTGCCATAGTAGCTTCAGTCAACTAGTGGTACCTATATCCTGGAAACACCCCCAATCCATTACAAAATTCAAATTCTTTGTCTTATGAAATGACTTATTAGTAAATAATATCCCAAAAATCTCATAGGCACAGATAACAGTATGGTTATTACCAGAGGGAAAGGTGGGTGGGAGAAGTAGAAACAGTAAAGGGGGGATAAATGGTGATGGACAGAGACTTGACTTGGGGTGGTGAACACAAAATACAATATATAGATGATGTATTATAGAATTGTACACCTGAAACTTATATAATTTAATCAAGCAATGTCACCCCAATAAATTACATTTAAAAAGTTTTTAAAGACCTTAGAGAGTAAAAGAGTGAAAAAAAAAAAAGAGACCTTAGTCATTTTTAACCAAAAGTCTAGAGAAGTTTATTTGGTTTCTCAAATCATTTTCATCCTGTTGTCAGTTGAGAAACTGGGGTCTTTCCCAGCTGTGCAGGAAGGAGGCCTGCACACGGGGAGCCGCCCAGCCTGCTGTCTCCCCTCAGGGCTCCACCACTCTGCTCACAAGTGGGAGGTGGCTCCTCACAGGTCTACTATGGCTTCGGGATCTACGCAAATTGTTCCTTCCACATCGGGTGTCGGGTAAGGCACACATGTAAGTTATGAATGCTTCTCCTGTAGTGATTTATTTTGTACTTCACATTCTGGGATAGGGCAAATAGCACTTTACAAGTAAAGAGTCATGAGAGAGCTTGAGCAAAGAAGCAGTCCTTGACGTGCTCAATACTGATTCCCTTTAAACATCCCCAAATTCTATATTATACTGTATATTTATAGTTTTACTTTTTGTGTGTTTTTTTATACATTTTTATTGATTTTTAGAGAGAGAGGAAGGGAGAAGGACAGAGAGATAGAAACATCAATGAGAAAGAAACATCAATTGGCTGCCTCCTGCATGCCCACTACTGGGGATCAAGCTGGCAACATTGTCATGTGCCCTGAGCGGGAATCAAACCAGTGACCTCTTCATACATGGTCAACGTTCAATCACTGAGCCACAGCAGCCAGGCTATGTTTCACATTATGGTAAGTATTGTTTTACATGTATAACATTATACTTGCTTATTGTCTGTCTCCCCCACTAAAATGAGGGCAAAAACATTACCTCTTTTTATATTACAGCCCCCTCCATTCTGAGAACCGTGCTTGGCATATAGAGGCACTCATAATATCATCTGAATTCATTTATTAATAAACCTTTCTTGGAAGTCTATTGTAATACCCAAACCCTTTCATTGTCCATATGTTCTTTCTTGATTAAAATGAGCAACTAGTTATCACCCTTTAATCCTCCCATCCCCTCTCTCTTTCCCATAAAGACCCTCTTCCTTTTTCTTTTTAATTGAGTGCCTTCTAGGCACAAACACTATGTCTGAATTTAAAAAACAAATGAAGCATTGTGGTCCCTGCCTGTAGAGCACCGCCCACTGAGTGAACAAGAAACCCAAACACACACAGTTGATAAGAGTCAGTGTCATGGAAGGGATGGACTTCTGTTTCAGCACATAGCAGGAGCATCTAACCCCTCCTGGGGACTTTGAAGAAGAGTACCTGAAAAAAAAAAAATGCTACTGGAAATAAGTTTTAAAATGTAATTAGGAATTAGCCAAATTGAAAGTTCTGGGGAAATAAATTTTTAACAAAAGAAGCATAAGCAAAGGAAAAAAGACATGAAGACATAAAGACAGAAGAAGCATGTTTTCTTTGTAGATGCTCCTCAATTTTTCTCAGCCTCCTAAAGTTATAAAATAGTAAAAATTGAAATGCAAATTTCTTCACTAGTCCCACAAAGAAGTTTAATGTTTTTGCTCAAATTATTTTTAAGTTGCTGTACAATGTCTCTTTATGCTGATATGTTTCATATCCATTCATTCATTCAACCAATACATATTGAGTGCTTATTATGTGAATATATCCGTAAAACAAAACATTCAAAAATCCCTTCCCTCACAGAGCTTACATTCTGTGAATGTAAGAATAAAAGTAACACATATGCTTATTCTGTAGCTTATTATATGGTGATAAGTGAAATGGGGAAAAGATCAAGTCAGATAAGGTGATGAGGCATCCCAAAAAGGGATGGGGGTACATCCCTGTGTATCCTTTGCTTCAAACTAAGAACAACACTCATGATTAAATCACTATGCTCTCAAGCCTACTGAGATAGTGAAGCAATATGTATAATTGTTATAAATACATAATATAAGAAATAAATTATAATAACCAGATTATAATTTATTATTTATAATTTATTACTATTTTGCCAATTTCTTACTATAACATAAATTAGCTTATGAATCAAATAAGAACCTACTATTAAATATTAAAATGAGACTCCTTCCTATTGCTGTATTTATCCTGATAAGCCAATACTCTAAATACAGAAGGGAGAGCAAAAAAATCTATTATAAATTTGGAAACAACAAACTTCCTCTTAACCCTAGCGCCTCTGCTCATGTTTCATTGGACATTGTCAGGATTGAATAAAGTGAAATGATTTTAGGATAGTGTGGATATGACCAGAGCTAGACCGCTAATAGGATAAATTCCTAAATATGCTCTTATTGTTCAGAATATGCCTTTGGATATGTCTAAAATCATCTCACAGGAAAATGAACAGATCCACTGGGAAATTCAAAGTAGGGCATTTAGCAATATTCATAAACTGGGTTTTAATAAAGCTGATATTTTACTGTTTGTGATATTCAGATGACTAATCTGACAATCAGATTATGGCCCCACATTGAAGCAATTGGGTGTGATACGTAAGTGAATGAATCAGTAAACTGGTCTTGTCGATACTCTCAGTACTACTTTTGCTTCAAACTTCACAGCGTTTGTGGTTAGTGTTTGAATCGACACCAGTTAGTGCATTTCTTGTGCTATTTTTTACTGAATCGGGGGAGGAAAACACAGGCACTTGCTTCTGCCCTTCCACACATATCAGGTTTTCCTATCATTTAACTCAGAACAGCACAGAATGTAATCAGGGCTTTTACTTAAATTACACTGTACATGAACTTTGGTCAGGAAATCCTCCAGTGTGCACCCATGCAGTTCCCTGGGGGCTATAAGAGTGAGAATGAAATTGCCCACCAGAGAAAGGTTAGTGTGAATCATAGAAGTGTCTTGACTCAACGAGGCAATCACTTCCTTTCAAGTCAGCTACATTAGCTCTAGAGGAGGAAAATCTGAATATATCAATCTGTTATTCAGGAGGTTTTATTGGCTCCTTGCTGGTACTTTCCCTGTGAATCCACCTGGCCAGCTCAGCTTTTTATCACCAATCACCATGTTTTCTAATATATACTGTTAGTGAAATAAACACAAGACCTACATGTAAACTAAATAACTAACTAAACAATTTATGATTATAGCCATGCACCAAAAATTTACAAACTAGGATATTCTGCTGAACATTACTCCTTGTACAGGCATAAAGCCTAGATGACTATAATTAAATTTGATTCCTATGAAATTTATAAATATATTTAGAACACTTCAAATTTTCCCCACTTTGAAAATCCAATACAAAAATCTCAGGTTT